TTGAGAGGAACAAATGTAATAAAAATCAGGATGTTGCACGAGTTTGGTCAAAACCTGTATAATGCAGTAGCATTCGAAAAAGCACACGGCATTGGCTTCTTTATGGCATCCCGGTGCGATAAATCTCTTGCGTTCACCTTATAGTACGTGCTGTGTCAATATGGATTCGTTCAATGCGAATATTTCCTGATAGATACGATGTTCGTAAGAGGTGACGGTATCTAAGTAGTTAGCTTGCTTCTGTTTTCAGTGGCACAGAGTGACTCTCAATAGTGAGCGAGTAGTTGGACCTATGGTGGGTGAATGTCTTAAACACTTCTCGAATCGGAGCATTTCGTCTAAAACGGAGTGGAACGGTCGACCTACAGGGTTGAACATGACGGTGCACATAAGAGATGGCTACTGATCATCATATCCTGAAGCAGCCGACATGAGACGTCTTCACTCCATCCGAAGGGGAGTGAATGATAACGATCATCCCAGTTTTGTTTTCCTTTTCTCAGAAGTGTTATCTGGAAAAAGTCTTGTCACCTTACCAACAAAAACGTCATCATGAGCATAAAGACCGTAGATGGGTACCTCCGCGGAGACATCATCAGAAAACAAAGTAATCAACACTCTTTCTCTCTGATTACAAACCCATTTGCATAAGTTGACGTCTATTATTTCACGGGGGCCATATACTGTTTGTTTTCGCCGCCACAAAACTTAGCACAACCAAAGGCAAGACGTACCTAAAACTGGTTTATTCTCGTCCGATTTTAAATTTACTTTGGGACAATTCAAAACTTTTCGTCCACCCCGATTTTCTGGCAGCTGATTCGTCAATCCTTTCGATTCCCTCCCTTCTTGTGAATCTATCTTCAAAGTTTCTGTGCTCAAGAGTAGAAATAATATTTGAGGTGGATTCAATTTGTACGTTGAACTTGCCGTCTGCGTCAAGTACATGTTTTATTGCCCATTGTCTGTATTCTCACTTTTAGGGCAGAAGGCTATCAGTGCTTGTCGGAGCGCCGTAATACGCTGTAACCTATGTCTTGTCTTTTGGTCGTTTTGATTTCCTTTTTTATTTATTGAATATACAAATGTACAGTCAACTTTCAGGAAAGAGACTGCGGCCATACAAAGGCTGTCTGGGGAAATACAGAAATAGGGAGGACAGGCGGCGGTGGAGTGGTGGGCGTAGAGGACTATCGCGAAAATCGCTCCGTAGTGTTCGGATCAATCTTGTCAGTAGTAGTTTGTCTTCTCTCGTTTTACGCCAGAGAGCACGCAGTGCGATAGCGTGCATACAAGCCCTCGGCACATAATTGCAGTGTGTCACCATAGATTTCTTTTGCTCTAGTATAACAGACCCCTTTTGTGTTCTCCATCGGAGTCGCACTTGTGTTAATCTGGTTGTATTTGATTCCACTGAGTGATACTGTGCTACACAATAGGTCATTAGTTCACTTCTGATCCTACCTTCGGGCTTCATATTCAAAATGATGGGGGGTTACTGGTTCTTTGCAGTGGTGACCGAAACCTTTCAAGGTAGTAATGCGAAACCAAGGACATTATACAGTCTAAATTGGAAGACAAACAATCGAGTGAAGTGCGCATATTGCATATTTGTTAACCCACGTAGGAAAGATCGGGATAGGAAAGCGGATAACGCACCGTTATCGGCACCAATCGAATGAGATGCGCATTGAGTCCGAGTGTGGCGCTGCGTATACGACTAACACAGGGGAGCTATGCCGCATATTTTACTCTCTATGAAACCGCTGGTGGTCAATGAGTGCAAGAAACAAAGATGGATAGTCAAACGGATAGACAGACAGACAGAGAAAATCACCTGCAGTCGTTGAGTCAGCTGATTCAGTTTGGTCTGTAGACTTTCATATTCCTGACGCGCCTGGGCGCTCTCCGATCGGTAAGTACGTTCAGCAGCCGTCAATTGCTGGACCTGAGTTCGAAGATCGATTTCCAGTGCGCGTAACGATTGCAACTCGGATTTCAGTCGACGAAGTTCTGTTTCTAACCTGAGATGTGCGAAATGAGAGCAGTAGAAAACTGATTTTTACGAGATATTCAGGTTGTTATGCGAACGACGCATGAGTCAACAATGGGGTCTATACTTCGAACGAAAAGCTGAACGCAGACTTTTTTATTAATAGCAAACACAGAGACAAGTGTTCCCCGTATTCGAAGATTCCAAAAATGAGCAACCACTTTACACCAAAGGAAAAAGATACACGACAAGCAAACTCCGTGCACATGTAGATCAGCATATTCTTCACAGTGTTTTTACTCTATTTTTAACCTTCCTTTGTTGGCCGACCGAATGCGCAACCAAAAGACAACACCCGAAACGGCACAGGGAAGCACAGCGTTAGAGGTTGAACAAATGAAACAGCATTTATGAGATTTTTCAATGCATATAGTAGATGAGGAAGAGTCGAGAAGAGGGGATACTACTGACGCCAATTATCAACGCGCGGGAGAGTAGAGCAATGGTGGAGTTTAAGTATTGACCCGATGTCATTTTGATACCAACAACATTCGAAACAGGGTCTACTTCCTTATGAGTAATATATGTTTCAGTTTCAGGGAGCATCATTTCTGGTCTCTGACTATTGAAAAATCTATCAGATTATTTAAAAAACAATGAACTGAAGAATATCAACAAGCGTTTTGTATGCACGATAAAGATTCATTCGAGACTCATGACTTAGAGACGCAGGGTGATAAAAATAAACCGAGAATTTCGGATAGAGGAAGATGATGATGGATTTACTCGCAAGCCTCCGAAAGCCTCAGTATGGTCGGGGGTGGGTGTCTAGGGTTGTGGCTGGTCACCCTTACACCTCGCGAACTGTTCCCGTAGGACCAGGCGTCTCAAATAGCCTCTGCTGAGGAAGTCTTACACACTGATTTCTCCT